TACTAAATTTGTATGGAGTAAGTTACATGCTATACTGGAATTTGAAAATTTAGAGATTTGTGAAAGTTTGCAATTGACAGTTGTTAATACTGTCTATACTCTATAAGGAAAAGAGCACAGTTGCTTGCTGAAGACTCTGCCACAGAAAATTGTTTTAAATTAAAAATAGTCTTTAGTGACACATAATTTTTGATGCATAAAATTTTATTTGTTCTAAGAACATCACAAAAATATCTAAATTTTCTGCCTTGTATACAATTAAGAGCAAATTGGAGAGTGCACTTATGAAATAGAGATCATGAAGTATTCTAGCAAGGAGGACCTTTTATATTTCATTTGAACTAGCAGTAACAGAGAAATGAAATCTTTGTAATCAGAATTGATAAGAGCTAGCAGATTAAAAATGTTAAATTTCCCATTAATGTTGACAAGCATGATGTACTCATAGAGGAAGCATAACTCCTGTTAATGGGGGGGGGTGATAGGAAACTAGCCAATTATTAACTCCTCTTAATTAGCAAACAAGAAAATCACTAAATAATGTCAGACTGATGATATCCTTTACTTGGTCTGCAGAGCATTATAAAAATAATAGGAACATTGTATTAGAAATCCTTTAAATGGACCACTTGCCTAAGTTACTCACGATTCAACCTAACCATAGGAGGCCAACTCAATAAAGTTCCAGTGTAATTTTAAGGTGATGTGGGATCTTAGAAATTTAATACTCATATACGTACACCAAGAATTTTTTTGTTGAATAATGTATGCCAACTATCAGAGTACTTTCCTCCACTTTTAGATTCACAGATGGACATTTCATCTGTGAATGTGAAACTCACATTTCATGTGAGTTTATATTTCGCTATGATTTAACTTGTCATAAGAACCTTCACTTTATTAACAGTTTGACACATTGGATATTTAAAGTAGGTTTTTTTTTTTTTTTTTTTAAATACTGTAGGTTAATCTTAGGATGCAATGCCCACTTATCAAATACATTAGGAAACATAGCTCTACTAAGGAAATGACAAAGATAATAAGAGACCAGGGCGACCCATCCCGAGGAGGATTTTCCATCTGTAATATAAAACCAGGGCACTGGCACTGTTGTTTCTCCTTGACACTTATACATACAGTCTGGTCATAATTGTTTACTCACAGAACTGATAAAAACAAAGAATGTTGACTCAAAGAAAAGAACTTAAAATAAGAACAGACATTTGCAAGTGGCAATTCAACCCACACCAACCTCTGTGGAAGGCAGAATCCAGCGCCATTTATGAATACTCTGGTAGTTAGAACGATCCTCCTGCTCTCTCTCCGAGGGCACTTCTCTCTCTCCTGGGGCTGGAGGCATCATCTTGCTGACAGGCTACACCAGTGGCCCTTTTAGGAGTAAATTTGTCATTCTTTTAATAATGCCTGACTTTTGTGAATGAGCTCTGCAGGAAAGCTGAGGCTTACTCTCCCCTGTGGCATACACATTGACAAGTCATTTCTCACTTCTGAGATGGCTGGGGAATGAGAATGATTTGAGGAGTCGAGATGAATCATAGAGGAAGACTTCTTTCACTCAGCTTACCATCACACTGTGCATTTCTGCGTCTATTTAAAAATTAACTTGTGACCCCTAGTCCTCGTCCACCCTCAGTCACGCACATCGCTTCCTCTAAGACTGCCGTTCTCACTCAGAGGTGATGTGACCTGTTAGAGAGGACGAAGCACGGGACTCCCGGGAATGTCAGGTTAGTTTTGATCTTTCAGTATGGGCCAAATGGAGTAAATGTGTGTTTGCGACTGTATGCGCCTTGAGCATATGTACTTTAAAATCAATTAGAAGTTATCAGACAACATCTTAGACTGTAAGGGAGAGTTTTTCTGTGGTAAAGTTCAAGAAAAATTGCTTGAGAAATGCTTGGGAGATGACTATCCTTTCATCTTTGTCATTAAAGTCCTGGCAATGGCTTTGGTCTGCTTAAACAAATGACAACGAATAATATTAATCTGCAATAATTTCCTTATACATTTACTCTTGTTAAATTTTATTTTGTTTTTCTAACTTTGCATGCAACCAGCAAGGCATGATAATGTTAGGGTGCCCAATTAACTTTCTAGAAACTCGAGGCAATATGTGTTGATTTGTTCTATAATGACATTAAATTACCACAAAGTATTCCTCAGAGTAGTTTAATTGAGATAACAAAAATCTTGAAAAGTTATAAATACATGTCTGTGTTTCTACATATATCTGTATCTACATATGTATATAAACGGAATTTGTTCATATTAAAATGTGGAAATAGCATGGTTTAAAATATGCAAAATGAGACCCACCCAAATAATTTATAATAAACCTTTTAATGCTACTATAATGTAAATTACATTTCATACCAGAGGAATCCATATACGACATAATAACATGCCAACTTAATCAAATTTTGAGTTTTTTTCCATCAGAGTTATGCTATCTATAAAATTATGCCTATTTTTCCTTCTATCATTGGTACGTTATGAATATAAAACACACTAAGTTTCTTAAGGCACAAAATTATCATATGTATTTAAAGTATTAAAAAGTACAACAGTATATTTTTCTTTGATGTTATTTTAAATATTCCCAGCAAAAACTAAAGGGATGAAACAGAAGTAAGACAGATTCTTAATATTTGTTAAATGAGAATGATTAAGTGTCATTTGATATTCTAGTTTGGAAAATTTTAAGCACCATTCAATAATTAATAACAGAAACCCAATTACTTTATATAGTAACTTTTTACTCAATATTTTAAAAAACTTTTTGTTTATATTTATTAGTCTTACAATACCTTTGAGAATTCTATAGACATGGGTATTACCAACTACATCTAGGTGTGAAAGATTAAAACGATCTGTTTACTGTCCCAAAATTAAGGATGAAGCTCAATCTACTGACTCAGGTTTTCTCATTTCCTAACAAACACCTTAGCTGGTTGATAGATTGGGGCTATTTTTCAAAGGTAGTATTTCTCAAAGGTGATGCTTCGTGATGAATAATCCTGCTTTTGCTGATTTGTTTTACCAAAGTGAATGTCTTCTATTTTCTGTATTTTGTTTTTATTTAACCTTTGGAGCTCTAGTCAATTGTTTTGAAGTTTTCCAACAATTTTATTTCTTATGATTTACAGTCTTTATCTATGATAACTTATTAAAAGGCTGTTAGAATATAAGTATTAATATTAATATGTTGATAGAAATTAATACAACATAGAAGAATACTTATATATTGAAATTATATTTTTATTTAATAAAAGTTTAAGAGATATTAACAAATTAACCAATTAATAAAACTGAAAACTATATTTTTAACTTCTAAGTAGATTATAATGTAAGAAGATGCCCAGTATTTGAGATTTCTCTGAATGTGAAAGATACATATGGGGCTGGCCCAGTGGCATAGTGGTTAAGTTCGAGCGTTCCACTTTGTCAGCCTGGGGTTTGCTGGTTCAGATTCTGGGTGTGGACCTACTCACTGCTCATCAAGCCATGCTGAGGTGGTATCCCACATAGAAGAACTAGAAGGACCTACAACTAGGATATACAACTATGTACTGGGGGCTTTGGGGAGAAAAAAGAAAAAAAGAGGAAGATTGGCAACAGATGTTAGCTCAGGGCCAATCTTCCTCAAAAAAAAAAAAAAAGATACATAGGATAAATTTGAATTACCTAGTCTCTGAAAAGATTTTAAGCTTTTCCTGATTTTCAAACCATGCATTTGAGTCAACAGTAGGGGTAAAAACATAACCCATTTTCTCCTGAATCAAAAGACGTTTGTTCAATAGTATGTTGCTGCTGTAAAGCCTTTTGTGGTTGCTGCTAATTACCTGCTTTTCATTTCAAAGTCTTTAAAAGGAATATAGGTACAAATCAACTCAATAAATATTTATTGGGAGAAGGAATTCAGGAAGGTCATTGGGTTTGGAAAAATATATATAAAATACCAGTAACATCTTTGTTACAGATTTTTCACTTCAGCTGAACACAGAGCATCATGTCTTCCTATATTACTGGACCAAATCTTGAAATTATACGCACTGAGCAAATGATACTATAGGGAATGTGTAGCACTAACATTTTAATTAAAATACAAAATAATAATTTGCATGAGGGTGTAGCTAAGCATTTGATGACCTCCAATTATATTAGTAGTAACATTTCCATTTGATAACTAGATAACTGGGTCATTAAAAACATGTAATTAAAGTAAAATCATATCCTAATTTATAAAGGCAATGAAAACAAAAGAGCATAGTGAAACCCCACTAAAAAGTAGTTACTGCACCATTATAACAAGATATATTTTTACCAACATATCTTGTAAAGAAAATAAAGGTCAAACCTTGCCCTATGCTTTCTTGTTAAAATACTCTAGAAGACCAGGTGATAAAGTAAGTCATAAATACAACACAAAATGATTCTCTCCCCAGGAGCTTGTGGCCAGTCCAGAGGTACTGTGAATGGCAGAGGGTGAAAGACAACATTGGAGATGGTAGAGAGTCACCATACAGAGTTTTAAAGATTTAGGCCAGGACCTTACTTGTTACACAGGCACAAGTAATTACAGAGCACAAGCATATTGTACTTTTTGCTACTTGCATTGTCACCACATTTCTCACCAGATGAAAGTGGGCAGAATCCTTTAAATGTAGTCCACTTGGGGTGGGTGGATGAAGGTACCTTGGTTCTTGGGAGAGGAAAAGGCCTGAAAGTGTGTTAACACTCAGAGAGAAAGGACCTGGTCCCCACAGCAGCCTTGCTCTTGGAGTTTAGGGACACAGAGGAGCTGCGTCGTGCCTCGTGAACTTGATGGGCAAACGTCGAATAAGGCCACTCAGCTAAAAACACACCCGGCCCGATTCTATCCACAAACATAGGGACTTCTCAATCATCTCCATAAAACTCAACTCTTAAGTATTTATGAAGTAATACAAATACCATCAGCAATACTTTTCTTCTTTCTTTGTTGCTGACAAATCAACTCTCCAATCCACCAACAGAGCTTGAAATGTCCCAGTCACCTTCAGAGTGACACAGACCTCTTCCTCCTCCTGGCAAAATCCTCAGCATGAACAAAGTTGGAGACAACCTTAGCGAGGTGGCTGTCTGAGGTCTCCGTGCTGCTCCCAAAGTCATAGTTTTTCAGGCAAGGGCACAGGCAGCGCGCGATGGCCCGGCGGATGTAGCTGTCAAAGACGTAGTAAATGAAGGGGTTGACGCAGCTGTTGGCAAACGCCAAGGGCCCGCTCACCTCCATGCCCCGCTGCAGAAAAGCTGGGGAAATGTAGAGTTCTTGGTGCAACCCAGAAACAATGGCCAGGAGCTTGCAAGTATTAAAGGGCAGCCAGGAGAAGACAAAGGCCGCCACGACAATGAAGATGATCTTGATGGATCTCCGCAGCTTTCTGTTGTGCTTTCCCGACTGCTGGTAGTGAGCACACAGCTTCCTTGCGATGCAACAGTAGCAGGTCACGATGCTCACCAAAGGGGCAAAGAAGGTAAAAATTAAGGCTACCAAGGCCCAAGCCAGCTTAAGTGAAGTGGCCCTTTTCTCTGCACAGTATGGCTTGTCATCGATCAGGGTGAGCTCCCTGGACAGAAGAGTAGGCAAGCCCAGGAGGCAGGAGATAAACCAGACACTGGCGCAGACTCCATACGCACAGTCTCTCCTTCTGAATTTCCTGGATATGGCTGGACACACGATGGCCAGGTAGCGGTCAACACTCATGCAGGTAAGCAAGAAGATGCTGCAGTGCATGTTGACTGAGATCATGTAGGAGCTGCCCTTGCACAGGAAAGAGCCTGTCCTCCACAGTCCCAACGACGCTTCCTTATCCACCCAGAGAGGCAAGGTGACAAGGAAAATGAAGTCAGAGGCAGCCAGGTTGATGATAAAGATGTCGATCAGTCTTCGGCTGCCCCGTTTGAAATGCAGTGCACTCATGAGGACGAGGTTCCCCAACACTCCAATCAGGAACACAGCTGTGTAAAAGACGGGGAGGAAGACAGATGTGTAAGGCGCAGGGGAGTGGGTCTCCTCAATTTCAGGATTTTGGCTTGTAGCATAGAAATAATCCAAATAAGCCGAGGTTGCTTCTGGCTCCATCACGAAAGATCAGGAGCCAAACCTGGTAAGCTTCCTTACTCAGGAAGTTTTTGTATGAATTTTAGAAATCTCAAGGCAGCTTCTTTTATACAGTGCCTGCCTCCTCCCCACCTCCGCCCTTAAAAGATCTTGGGACAAACATAAAAACAGAGATCAAAAACTGCAGTTTCTACCAATCTTCAGAAAGGGCCCACCAGGAACACCCCCCATTGGTGTTGGGTGGCTGTGGTTGTGGTTTTCTTCATTTGCATTTGCCCAGGAAACCAAGGTGTTTTTTGAATTTTTTCTTCAAGATATTCAATTTGTTTCTTTAAATCCAGAAATTAGGAAGTGAATTAACTTGTTTTTCCTTATCTACTTTAAAGACAGCCTCTGCTTTTCTGACACTGAGACCCTTCTGATCCAGCCTTCTACTTCACCTAGAGGATACTCTTGTATTTTAGAATTTTAAGGTGATGATGTCGAAGACACTCTTTTTATTTACATCATTGGTGAAATGTCAAGAAAATAGTCTTTTATTGCATAAAGAGTGAACTTAAAATTTCCCAGCTCAGACCAGTCCACATCTGTGGCAAACACAATGATTCCAATATTAGGGTTTGAGATTCTTCCCATTTATTTGGCTCTTCCATGTCAGACATAATTGATCCTGTCTCATTCAACATGTTTTTAAAGTTTTTAAAAACATCTTGCACCTTTATTATTATTTAAAAAATTTTTCCGGTACAATTAGCACAGCACCTTGCACATATCAGGGGCTTCGGAAATGTTAGTTTATTTGAGTTGATTAGGAAAACTTGTGCTTTTGTGATCCAGTGTAATTAGCAAGGACGAATTCACTGGGGTCTAACTGCAGGCACTGTTGTTATTTAGGTAGCTTACAAACAGGTTTAAAAATCACAAACTGCTATTTTTACACTCTTGTCTGCTGTTGTAATTCAACCAACACAGTTCCCTTTTGTTAGAGGCACCCTCCTCGACTAGGAGCTTTTCTCCCTACTAACCCTCAATAACTATCCTCCAGCAGGCTCCAGACCCCTCTGATCTTCTCTTGCTCACCTCGGTGGCAGTGACTTTTCAGCTTTTGAGCCATGACTTTTCCTTACATAACTCCACATGTCTTTTGGAATTACTGACCTGCAACAGACAGACCAATATTCAGTGACTGTATAACAGAATTGCCAGTATAGACACAATAAAAGGAAGATTTTTGGTTCAAAACGCTGGAGAAACAGGCTAACATCACAAGGATCCTATTACATTTTTCTCTCATCTGTGCAATTTTACATTAGGACGACCATAGTAAAATACAACACATTCTGAAACTGACTCCATTTGTTTCAATTCTTTCCTGGACGAAGCAGGTTGAGGCTCTCTCACACTCTCCTCTCCTTCTCTCTTTCCCTCCATCTCATTTCATCGCCCAGATCACAGTTCCAGGCTGATGTTACTATTGCACAGAAGAATGTATGCCTGTAGATGAAAATACAATTGTTAACCATTTGAAGTCCTTTCTACTGCATTTCTATTTCTTCTGTAGTTAATATATATTGAAAAGCGTGATCCTGCCTGCTATACGCCTGCCCTCTCTCTGTTTCCTGATGTGTTCTAATGTCACCTCAGTTTCTGGGCCAGGGAAGGATGAGGGCTCCCTGATCTGGGGCAGCCCCAGGAGTCACCTGGGAGTTGAATTATGGGCCTGGGTCTGCCTTCTTCTGTGTCCCTGGCTGCTCTGCGTGGTTCATTGGGCAGATCCTACACCAAGCATAGGCTGCAGGGGAGAGAAACTAATGGACACTTAGACATTTCTGGGATAGAAATCTTTCCCACTGGGTAAGCCTTAAATATTTAATACAGTAATTCATTTTGTCAAGTAGTTTGAAGTAGGACAATATTTACTTGAAAAGGATAGATGGGGTAAACATAGAATATTTAAGCACTGTATCTCTCTATATGTGTGTGCATGTGTGTATTAAAGTACCAATCATATATAAATATATGCTTGTAAAATGTATATATATACATACGTATATACTTTATTGATAATTGTACTTTAAACATACTGTTAGAATTTTGCATTCTACAACCAGAAGTTCTTATGGCATTTGAGAAAATAAGATTGATTCTGGGCCTAAGACATTAAAAAAACATTTTTTAGCTATGTCTCAAGAATTCTGCATAAAAATATTATAAAATGAGAAAGAGTTCATGCTCATAGTCTAGAAGAAAACGTGGCTGTACATGTACTCGGTGGCCTTACATTTTCTTTCAGCATTCAAGTTGTTGGCCCACCTCAAAGAATGCTGACTTCCTCCGTGACCCTTGAAGTTGCTGCGGACAAAACGACTTGCTCTATCACTCACAGTCACTCTGGCATGCGGTAACTAGTGCAGAATGCTGCAACATCAGAGTGCCCACCACCAACCAACACTATCTTGGGACCCAAATTAGAAAACACATTAAGCGTTTTGAGCCAAAAAAGGGGAACAAATAGCATAGCCCTGGGCTTTTAATAACTCAAAGAGTACAAAGCTTCTGTAAGACAGAACCCACAATAAAAGCTGACTAGATAAAGCAGGGGGTCATTGTTTTAAATAAGCTCGGTGCAACGGTCATTTTTAGGACTTTCCCCTTTGAAATAAAGGTGAGGATTCCAACCATAAAACAACCGACTCCACGTAGACCAAAACTCAGAGACAACACTGGACACCGTAAGCATGCGGAAAGACAGCTTGAACAGGGTGATGACAAAAAGAGAGTAAGACATAAATATTAGTCACTGCAGTACAGCACACGTGCCACCTCTGAAGAATTGTTTTCCCAGAAAAAAACGCTCGACTTCCCTCCCTCCTCCCCAGCAGAGATAACAGCTTTCACCTTTGTGTTCTCTAAGAACTTGTGCAATACTGTTTATAAAGTACCTATTACTTCATTTCATATGGTTAGTTGTTTTGGTGCCTGACCTCCTCAGCTGATCACCAGCAACTTGAAGGAGAGACCATCCGTTCTCTCTCCACCAGCCTCCAGCTCACGGTGGTTACCGAACTACAGTCTTTTTTGGACTCTCAAAGCCATTGTTTGAACCTGTGGGTGCCAGACCACATACCCACATTAGAGTCACCCGGGATGCCTACTAACTGTAGCTTTCTGAACCAGGTCCCAGGTCTACTGAATTGGAATCATTAAGAGTGGAGTCTAGGACTCATATTCAACAAGCACCCACGGCGATTCTTACACACACTAGTTTAGAGTCACTGTCCTCATTTATACAGCTTAACCAGCTTTATATGTTATGCTTTGTTACTATTTTGGCTAGCTTTTTAAAAAGTTTAAAAATCACCTCTAAATTTTAACTTCTTAGAAGTCTTCTAACCTGGATCTCACGAAATTTTAGGAATTAATTTAGACTTCTGGGCCCTACCTATTCTGCTTTCTGAGGTATATTCAGAATTGGGTCAGATATTGGAGATGAGAGACAGTAAGATTTTGTCCACTGAGATGTGCTCAAGTGAATCTACTATCATCTATCACACAGCCACAGCTGAGACTTGCAGCCTCTGCTTCACAGGCAGGCTGAAGGTTTTGAGTGCATACAGCCATCTCTAACGGTATTATGATATATCACTTCTGCTGCTTCTCCATCAACCACTCTGGACCCTACATTAGACAGAGATTCATCAGATTATGTAGCACATAGCACAGCAGAAAGAAACCTATGTTCATATATGCTCTACTGATGTGTCCCAGAATAAATGGCAAAGATCATGAAGCAAATTATTTGTTTTTCATTAATCTCATCAATAAGACTGATTGTATGTTCATTTGTTAGAAAGAAACACTCTCTTGTCCATTTCTTACTTGAGCATCATAAAGTATATAACCATTTAAATAGGCAAGTTTAAGAGATCTGTTTATATCCTAGGAGTTAATGATTTTTTTATTCTGACAGTTACTTGGAGAGTTTAGTGCAATATAGTGCAATATATCATGCCAAGTTAAGTGGCGTGTATTTGCTGTCATCAGGGTCCTCCCCTACTTCATTTATTGGATTATTTCCCTTGGTACCCCATATTTACATAAACAGCAGTGATGTTACTGTTCTAGGCACATACACTTTAGGCTTCTTCATAACAGTTGATTTAATCTGGATTTAGGTTGTGCACAACAAAAATTGTGTTTATTTACATTGGTACCAGCACAGTGACTGGCAGACAATAGGTGGTTAGTAAACATTCGTAGATCTGAACTGCACTGTGCTTGAATTTTGAGTCATTTCCAATGAATGGTGTCTTTTCACAAACTTCTTGGACAGCTTCCATTTTCCATGAGTGCCGTTTGTCATTGAAACAGCAGAGGTCCGTGTTGCTGCATCTTTTCTAATCAGAATGCAGATAGCCTTCCTGCTTCTCCTTTGTCCATCTGCATCTCCCACTACCTCTGTTCCTTGCACATTGCCTAGGCTGGAGGTGTAGGATACAAGCATTCCTTAATGAAACTTTAATGCTGTGGATCTGTGACAACCGTATTTTGGAGTTACATTATTCTTATTCCAGCAGAATTATGAATCATAAAATTTTAGAGCTTCAAGTCATATTAGTGATCATCCAGTACAACCATTTTATGAATGAGGATACTGGGGCCCAGAAAGAGGTCATTACCAAAGACTAACATTGATGATTTTAAAATAAAGGACAACTTAAATTTAAACTTCTCTTCCACATATGGTCCACTCCTTGTCCTTTAGAAGTGTGGACATCTAAACAGCTATAGTTTGTTACTCTGTGTAGATTTTGGCAGGAATTGCTAAAAGGAAAGAGCCATTTAGATGCACTTTTCCATTTGCCTTGTCCTTGGTTAATTTTGCCACTGATCTAGGATGAAAGGGTGCAAGGAAATTCAAAGATTGATACATTTTTTTGAGGATGGCCGTTGATCGGAACCCAGAGCTTGCATATATTCCTATTTTCCTCCTTTCTGCACTCCAAAGTTCATGAGGAAAACAAGGACCAAATTATATGAGAAAAACATAATGTAGATCTACCTTGCTTAACATAGTTTTTAGTTTATAAATATATGTGCAATTAAAAGATAATATTTAATTATATTAGGGAATTTGGTATTGAAGGGAATTCTCACATGAAGATTTGTTTTGTAAGCACATGATATAAACAAGTTATAATACCTGCATATCTAGATTTTCAGTTGTTGGTTTTATTTAAAATGTAGTGTAACTATAGCATCTTCTTGCTGAAACTAGAACCATCTTCAACAAATTAAGCCAGAGGTCCAGTTCAGCTTTGCTTTTACATCTAAATTTCATAATCTGTACATGGTTGCACTAAATCATCTCTAACATCTGTGCAAATGTCAGGCCAGTTACTGTTTCCCAACAGCAGAGTAAGAAACAGAAGCAGAAATTATCTCCATTAATTCATTAAGGATTTATTTTTCCCACCCACACAACAAGCAAGCAGAAAACAGAAAACACCCAAGATGCAAAGAGAAATCAGAAATCTGACTGTGTGCTTGGTGGTCCTGGGGGTGAGGTGGCGGTTCAAGTTCTCCGTGCTGAGTGGGAGGATGGTCACTTTCTCAAACACACAGACACTTCCAGGTCCACACTAAACTGGTGAGTGAAATGTGCCTTGTGTGTTTTCTAGACATTCTGCAGACTCGATGGGTGAAAGCGTCATCCTCCTCTGCAGGTCTCCCCAGAAGCATCCACATCCTGAATCCTGAAGACTTACGTATGCTATGAGCCCAGTCTGGGAATCTCCTGAGCAGAGCTAAGCATGGAAGCCTGAAATCTGGTCCTGGCAAGCCTTTCCTAGTCATTTGGCAGTTGGTCCAGAGGTTCGTAAACCTGCTGAAGTGAGCAGGCTTATTTCCAGCCTCCAGGGGAATCAAGAGCTTTTAAAAACTGTTTATACTGACTCTACTCAAACATTACAGGTGTTCAATAAATATTTGCAATTACTAATAATTTAATGTTTGTTTACTAGGCACCAGGCCCTGTGCTGGGCATTTTATGTGTATTTTCTCATTTAATGCGCACAACAATCACAGGGGATAAGCGCTCTTGTCAACATCCATATTTTGGTGAAAAGAAAACAGACTTAAAGAGGTTAAGAAATTGTCTAATGTCACAAAGCTGGTCAGCTCACCCCGGTATTCAAGTTTGATAAGTCAGTTATTCACCCTGGGCTCAGTTCTCTTGCCTGAATTGAGCTGCTGTCTTTCTCTTCCTCTTTCAAACTTCCCTTTCACCTGGGTCTGTGTACCATGTGACTTCATTGGACAGGTAGTTCTGAAAGCAGGGGATTTCTAGCAAAGGCCGTGGATGGAGACATTACCTGGTGCACAAATGCATTTAGGCGCCACGCTGCACATTAACAAGTTGCCTGTGTGCCTCCGCCACTGCTCTAGTGGTGCCTCTGACAAAGATCTCCTTTGATCAGGTATTCTACATGAAAATCCAGTCGTATTTGAATATTGCATTTGGCTATTACCTTATTTTATTTATGTACTGGATATGAATATCAGTTTACCAACTCAGGCGAAAGAGATACAACTACAGATAGAAAAACAGATATCATATCGTGCCTTCAGTCTGTCAGGGTGGTAGAAATTTAATACCAACTTGGGGCTCCCACCTTTCTCCTGTGCTGTGGCTAAATTCCAAGGCATTTGGCGATGGGGTAGGGTTTGAGAGCCGTTCTGGTCCTTGAGTCAGCTTTCCTTGCAAGTCTCTGCTAAGAAACCATCATTTGCTGGTCCCAAGCCAGGTTCACCGGCCCACACACGTCGTTGCTAAGATGTCCCTGCTTCCTGTCCGTGAACTTCTGCGCAATACTTGACGGCTTAGATTCATTCTGTTGCCTCTCTGCCACTGTCCTCTGAAAACTCTAAGGCTGTCCACGACCTTATCTGCTTAACGCAATGTTCCCCAAATTCAGTCGTCTTCATACTACATAAACAACTTTTTTTTTTTTTTAGACATAGACTGTGTGAAAGTAATTTTGACATATTTTGTGGATGTACTGCAGGCAGTAATGTGTGTGTACTCAGTAAGTGGGCGGGGGGGCTGTGAGTAAAGTTTTACTCAATATATAAACAACTTTTTTATACATCATATATATTTATATGTTTTTTGACACATCTGGTACCTTCAGTATTATTAACTTCATATTTTTCTTCAACTAAATGGAATTTATTTTGAAAGTAAACTTTACTACAGTAAATAGGAAACCAATATCACCTGCTATAAAACGAAGGCAGCCTCAAACATAAATTACATGAAACCCAAACCATGTCATTACCTTCTAGAAGAGTACGGTCAAGGCACATCCTTGGTCTAAAGTTAGGCAACAAAACCAGGAAGACTGTCTGCTCCAATGAGAGTGAGGTTGAGGGAGAGGAAATAAGCGGGTTAATATTTAAAAAGTGTAATCTCGTGGCTGTTCACAAATTTAGAGGTACGGCAGTGTGATAGGGGGAACACACGACTGGAACGCCTGAGTTATAGACGTCACAGTCAATAACTAGCGTTGACCGCGGACAGCTCGCCTTACTCTGCGGACCTCGTGAAAACATGAAGCCGTCAGCCCAGAGCCGCCTTTGGCGCACAGACGTGCCCGCCCTCCGCCGCGGAACTACATCCCCCACAATGCCCCGCGCGGCGCCGGTTCTCACCACCCCACGGTCCCGCCTACAACCCCCACAAGTCCCTGGGGGCCCGAACACCGCCAGCCGCTCCGCTCCGTCCCGCCTACAGCTCCCACAAGCCCCGGGGCTCCGGGCCCGGCGGGCGGGGCGGGGCGGGGCGGTGCGAGGGCGATGGGGGGGCGGGCTCTGCGGGAAGTGCGTCAGAGGAGGCGCGCGGAGGGCAGGGGCCGTGGTCTGCGCTGGACGGCGAGGCCGGCGGAGCAGGAGGATGGGCGGTGAGTGCG